GATGTACGATACAAATGCGTAATTTGCGTGATATTTGATCATACACGCTAAATCGATGCGTGATTTCTATTTTTCCAGCAAATGCGTGAGGGTTGACAGGGCAGATACATAATAATACAAACTGACAGTGACAACATCAAAATCTGACCATATGAAGAGCTTTTATTAATCAAAAAAAGGTGATTATTTGATGTATAACAATAATTAATCAGTAAACCCTCAAGGTTGCCACGCATACCCATGACACTGGTTGCCATAGCAACCATAACTATGTCATTGTCAGGAGATTTTAACAGAATAATGTCAATAATGTATATGTTCCTTATTTTGTGAGTTTCATGAAGAAAAAAGCAACATAACAAAAGTCACAGCAAAATTAGCCATACTTATTGAATGCCCTGTACATTCTTTACACATTCTTTAAATTATTTACTCTCAAAATTGTAAAATATTAACTTAAAAAGGTAGAATGACCTTGAATATCTGAATTCCATTGACGCCTACTACACATATTTGTATCTAATTTAAGCAATGTCATCAAAGATACCTAAACAACAGTTAATGTTATCAATGGTCTGAATACAATCCATTTTATCAATGACATCTCAGAAGTAAAAATCATGACACAGCAACACAATACAAAAAATGAACTTGATTGATTTTAATATGGTTTCTAGGGGTTTGACTTATGTGTTCATGTATATGTCTTCCTTGCTAATTTTTGTTTTCTAGTGGTAAAATATTACACAATTGACCTTTTGATTTAAAGTAGTACATACCTGTTATGATTACACCTAAGAATTATTATTGACTTAATTCAGCATGCCTAGGCAATGATGAAATTAGTATAAGGGATTCCCCAGTGTCATATGACTTAAGTATGTACTATTGGATAGAACTGGCAAATATTGATGATATCATTTTTAAAATAAGTCTTGCCAGTATTGCAATTTTGCGGTTTATTGAGTAATTGATATTATTTCACTAACCACAAATAAAGAAAGGTAAGCTTAAGCTTTATTTTCTATTTGAAGATCAAGATAATGTGTGTACTGTACATATAAGTCAGATCAATGTTATTAATAAGTAACGTAACATGTAAAGGCATGTACAGTCATACATTATTGTATGTAGAGTGTTAACACCTATAATGTAATTCACAATTTCAATATAATATCACAAATATATTTAATATAAATAAATATGATAACTAATAAAAATGCCTCATTTGAACTACTTTGGCTTATTCTACCCAGGGAATTTGTCATGGCATTAGAATTAATATATAACTTAAATCCAAGGTGCGTAAAAGGAAAATAAAAGTAAATCAAAGCCTAAAATGAAGCTGGGCTATTTTTCAAAAATGTGCTGTTTTTGGATATATTTCTATAGTTTACCTTTAAAGTTAATACTTATACTTATAGGCTAATATATATGTATATGTTCTTCATACTTTAGTGCATACTGCATATGTATGTACCCTTTAGGCACTTATATCTTTACACTTTGATATCAAAATGCATATAAGTAAGAGTATATGAAAGATACGTAACCGGCCGGCATAACAATAAATTAGTAAATATTGTATTGACATATTTTTGGGACTCGTTCTCTTAGGTTATAAGTCATTACATGTTTACTCTATTAGAAGCATCTGAGACTAAACATCTAATTTTATGAGCATTGTATTTTGACATTGGAAAAGGCATACTAGACCTGGCATGTCATCATAATCATTAATACCGAAGAAAACCATTTATCATATTATTATTGGCTGGGACTTTGCTACGTATGGACGCAAGATGAACTCTGAAATAGATGGGTGTTCTTATAATTGTCGCTAAAAATATTATTTAGGCTGGATTAAAAAAGCTGCACACTTGTTTATGAACCTACATTCCTAATGTTACCACACAGATGAATTATATGATAACTTTTCCAAAATCTTTGAATAATTAGTTTTGAAACATTAACAACTACAAATCAATCAAAGATATAGCCTTCATTATAAACTCTCTGTTTTGACCTAAATATTGGCATGATAAGTGTACTTTTGGGCTTCCAAATTTTGGGGTAGATGTAATAATAGATGTCAAATTGCAATATACCATGGACTTTATTTTGAAGATACTTTCAAGGAAATGCTAATCTGATGTTTATTTAATAAAACGTTTGTTTAGACTGTTGTCAAATTCTCATCAGTGGTCATTAAATTAACCACATGTTTAACAGATGTAAGATGATTTTTCCCAATGAAATTGTAATTTCTATTATACAGAAAATTAATTTAATACACTGAAAGCTGTATCTGATTCTCTAATCCAAACACCTCTCAATGTGAACACTTTTTCTCTGTCCAAAATTTATCTCCTATTGACTTCATAAAACCTTGAAATGTAAACATCTGCTAATATGAACACTTTTAACAGATCAAAGAGATGTTCAGATGTACGTTTATGAGGATTTGTCTGTCTGGATTCTGATTTTTTTTAAATTAACAACCACAGGCATTACTTTGAAGGTATTTCTAAAATAATGCCTATAGGTGATAAACAAAAGGGTGTCATTACAAAAAATCTAGTGTGTTACAATACATGGTTAATACTTTACATCAAATTGAATCAATTATTGTTTTGTATGATTCATGTGGGTACTTATTTCACTTTGATAATCAAATGTTGCGCTTTGTGCTTCCTCATACATATGTGAACTATAAGTTAGTAAACACACTTGTTTTCTAACCTCATTTTTTATCCATCCATCATGGATCCAAATAAAAATATCTAGGTTAGCATATTCAATTTTTAAACACTATTGTGTTGAGTTATATAATATTAAAAATGGCAATGTCTGCAATTGTGATAACGCAGTTAATTCACTTTCTAAACAAGTATTTTTGAAGCTATAATAATAAGGAGAAGAATGATTCAAGTTACTTATAATTAATATATGAATTGAGATCATTCTGGAAAATTTAGAATCAGAATTTACTGACGCTGGTCCTTTCAAGGAATATAAAGTCAGGGAATCTAAGCATCAAGCTAAAGATAGTTAAGTTTAAAAAGCTTAAGATAAGATTTTCTCATTTGCCGAGATAGTCCTTACATTCATTTAATATTATTTAGCATTTTGTCAATTTATTCAGTTTGGTTGGATAGCATGATAATGTGCTTGTTCATAATGCTATATCCTCTGATTGGCTGATAGAAATGATGAACATAACCTTATCAGGCCCGTAGCCAAGGGGGGTCACAGGGTTCGGGCAACCCCCCCCCCCCCCCCCCCTGGGCATAATTTCTTTCCAAATCATGCAGTTTTTCACCATTTTGAGCACTTCTCAAGTGATTTTAGCCATATTTGGGCCAAAATTGTCAAATGTAAACCCCCCTTGGTAATTTTTGAAAATTGACCCCCCCCCTGGCAAATCCTGGCTACGGGCCTGCTTATAATAATAACATCAACTTTTATACCCTTAGAAGTAAACATATCTTCTTTGATTAGTGACATCAAATTAATTTTTTATCAAATAACCACTTTCAACTGCAAGGTTTCAATACACAGGTAGCTTTGGGGGTGATTTGAAAAATCAACTTTACATTTATGGGGGTAATGTCTCATGCTTACCATGTCTCTAGCCAAGTAAGGTATTCCATCTGGAACACCGTGAACTATTGTAAAATTTCTAGTCGGGGTTCAATAAATTTAAGTAATATTCTAAAAACAATAATGTTAATATTTGATGAATTGAAATGGAACTGGCTAGGCTCCTTCATGAGATATAACATGATTTTGTCAAGATTTCGTATTAAAATTAAAACAAATGGCTCGAAGAAAAATGCAACCTCAGATCACAGGGCTTCAAAATCCAGAATATATTCTTTCTTTTTACCCCCTGCGATAAGCACTTAGCATTTCCCTGATTAAGAACTCGCAATCTGATTGGCTGTCGCAACAGTGCGACAGAAATCATGTATAAGTCATTGCGCATAATAAGATAATGTGATATAGTTTAATCGGGCGCTTCCAAATTGGTTATAGCAGGGGGGATGTAGGAGGTACGGATTCTGGACACCTGCTTAGGAGGATGAAAAAATTGTGACATTAGAAAACTGGACGAAATGTCTGGCTATGAACTGGCTATAAATTCTAAGTTAGCGATCCAGAAGATGTGAACTAATACACTGATCACTTCATGTGTGTTTTGGAATTTTTGGTGAGGTAATAAGACCAAAACTCACAATTCAAATTGTGATGTGGAAAAATGGCCAACATTCATTTGATTTCAAATCTTATGATTGTGACATGACCCATATACAGTGACATGACTGACATTGGGCAGAGTAAAAACATGCAGGGATTTATCTTTGGACAAAGGCTACGATATAGTGGCCTTAGAAGAAGGGAAGTTCATGCCTAAACCTACCCCCCCCTCCAGCAGCCCCCCCCTAGTATGTATCCAACAGACTGACAGAAGTCAGTCTGTTATGATGTACTACTTTCCTGTGGAAATTGCAGTGAAATTTTTTGCACAAAATTATCAATTGGAGGAAACATTTTTTCAACAAAATAAACATTACAAAATTTCAATTAAATAGTAAGGTACAATTAAATGCAATAAAAAGTAACACAGCATATTGTCTAGTGGAAATAAAGCTAGTTGAAGTAGCAAATGTGCAAATTAATTTTACCCAATCGGCCATTTTGAATAGCACTTCCTATGTAAACAAAAATATTTGGAATTACCAAACTTTAACATAGGTGCCTTATAGTCTGAATATAATTCAGACTAAATAGGATATAGTCTAAGCCCCCCCCCCCTCCCCACCAGGGTTACATTTCCAAATTTACAACCCTCATATCACATACTAGACTACTGTATACATGGATTCAAAAAGAAGTATATAACTCTCCTCAGCGGGGATTAACAAGGCATAAGTCAAATATACAATATATTTCAGCAAATTCCTCGCACATTCCAACACACGGAAACTTTTTCTTACCTTCGCTAAAATAGTTGGCGAATTGAACCACGATTTAACGTTCCTTTGGGCTACATACACTGATATCAAAAGGCCAGTTGAGCAGGTGCATATTGTGGCAACAGTTCTGCGTGAATGAGAATTGCTTTTACCCCCCGAATAGTTCTTTCTTGAGCAATTCTGTAAATTTAATCGAAATCTTCTCAAAATTCGGGTGGCAGCCATATTGATAGCTGTGACGCGCATGCGCGAAAGAGGTATCGGCAATAAACCATGATTCTCTCTGTTTCAGTCTGGCAACTTACATTGCTGTAGTTGGTTTTGGAATGATTAGATTCAATTCATGTTCCTCTTGATTTGCAAGGATATCCAAAGAAATTATGGAGTTTTTAACAATAAATGCACAAAAGGTAGGTTGCTGGTGATAGGTTATAGGATGTCACGTTTGTGGGTTGCGCTGAAATAATAAACTCTAACTAAACATTACATTAAGTTAACGATTTAACAAACAAAGATAGTTTTGGTAATAAAAAAGCATTTATATTGAACCATCTAAGTCATCTTTGAAATAATGGCAATAGAGGAAAAGAAACGTTAATTGCAATAATTTTGGACTATATTGGAAACGGTAAAATAAGTCAAATAAGGGTGACAACACTATATAGTGATGGGCTGGTGATATTGTAACTACTTTTCTAAGCTTATGGTTAACGTTTGAGTTCACATTTAGACTGATGGATCTATGTAGATGGATTTCAGTCGAGTCGGCTATTTTGGGATAAGATGCGCTGAGACTTTAACGTCAGGCGATCTCCCAGCGGTGCAGTGTTTTGCGGGTCTGTAAACCTACAGAATGATGATCCGTTCTATCTTCTCAGACACTTGAAGGTACATTAGAATAGGCCCCGACCAGAGAACGATCCGTCTTACTCTAGCGTTTAACGCAGTTTATCTAAAGTAACTACTATGCTTTTTTATTTTCCAGGGTTCAGCCGATAGACTGAACTACTAAGACAAAGCTTAAAAGAAGGATTAGTGGTTAGGGCCACTAGCTACTCGAAAAGCGCCGTGGATATAGTTGGATAGCGGATTTCTGTCTAATACTAGCTTTCATTTTGGATTGTGTCTTGCTGCAGCCTTGACGAGTATAAGAGTATCAGACTCTCTATTTGGAAGAAATACTGTATAAAGTCTACACTTTGAAACATCGGATCGATTTAATGGTGTCTGGCGAATGTTCTGCCTGGAGAGAAACCACGCTATTATAATTAGACCACTGCGGTGTTGGTTGACCGTCTTGGATAGGGCCAGCATTCGTATTAAATGTGCAAATGTCTTTATAAAAGAAAAGCGACAATAATAATTCTGAGAGCTCTGCGATTGGTGCCAAGTTAGTCATATAAAGTAATTCTATTGGATAAAAATGAATATGCCCACGTGCCGGGAAATGGACTGCTTAAATGTACACACGACAGTAGAGTTATTAGGAAAGAAATAGATTCCCGGTAACAAGCTATTAAACATTATGAGCAACATTTCTACAATGGAAATAAATTCAATGTTCACCGTGGATTATTTTACACACACTTCTGGATAGTATACCCCACACACAGTACAAATTTCCGGACGAAGGCGTATTACTGGAATTATTAAAGTCGGAGGCCTATTTATTTATATAATAGAATAGAATAAAATGAGGTTGTTACATTCTAGTTGTACTGGTTAAAAAGATAACGTACAAAAAGTGAGTATGCTTGCGGCTATTACGTCCGGCCTAGACTTGAACCTTGCAACAACGGGTCCGACATACATGAACACAGGTCCCACTGCGGCAGCTGAGATGCCTCCAATTAAAGACACAGTGACCAAAGATGACAATTTGGGTCATTTTGGATTCACAAATCGATTTGAACAATTGATTAACAAAAACACAAAGAGACATAGACGTTCTGATACGGCACCGTATCATGGATATCTTTGCTCCGCACACCAGGGGCAAATATTAACAATATTTCAGAACGGAACAGTTGGAGGAACACCAATGAAGAATCCGTACTCACCATATGGTAAGTATTATTAATTACATAATTTCTACACATATTTCTCATTCAGCAGATTTACTTATCCCCAACATTTCAGTTCTTCCAAAACATTTGGACACAATGTAAACCAAAACACCAATACAAGTACACTCGTACCAACTATCCCAAAAGACATGCCCCTGGTCCAAAGGATGTGGTGTTTTGATGAAAACAGTTTATCACTATCATTGTCGTACAACTCAAGGGAATTACATTTTTATTACACCAACACATGTAAAACATGTTCCAAAAGTTCGAAATACATTTGACACGATTGTAATGACCACCGTCACCACCTCGGTAGTTAACAAATTTAGGGATAGGGAACGTCTAGCTTAGGTCACGTAAAGGCACCAGCAGGGTTTGAATGTTATATCCCAGAAACCAACATCTGTAAGGACATGAAGATGACACAAACCGTTGTAGCATTTAACTGTCGAGCTTTAATTACAAGAACTATCTGGATTTAAAGTATCGTTCTCATGTGCTTATTTTACACACGTTTTAAAAGGCACACATATATTCATATGTATAGCTAAAATACAAATGTTGGACTTCCATAAGTCACTGTCACAAGTTCTTTGCTAATACCATTATTAACGTTTAACGTGTGTTTTTCATACGTGGTCAGAATTCCATTTTATTCGTGGGATACATTTACACCGAGAGTTTTCAGACGGTCAGAACCCCGGCAGTGAGAAAATATCCCAATATCTGCAGATGAATTAGTAAACTGTCCAAATCAATTAATGGTCTCAGCTAGAGAAAATGTACCATATAGTGTACATAGTCCATTAACGCTACTTCATTTTTGTCAAGATTCACTTTTACCAAACTTAGCAATATTCATGATGTAGTCACCATGACAACGTGCTACAGGGATAACACAATGACCAAAATTACGTGCCGGGATCAATCCATTTGAATAAGAATCTTAGGAAACTTCTCATTGCTCTTGTATTATTCTCAGGCTAGGCTATTATACATTCTTTAATTTTGTCTTGTATTTGCCCAGAACCGATAAATATGTCGGCTGCAATTCGCAGTGATGGATACATATATCGATTAACAAACCATACACAGACGAACAATGACGAATTAAAATTTGGCTGGATAACTTCCATAATCCACGGTCAGAAAATAACACAATTTGCAGACGAAAATCAATCCTCTAATCAAATTATCGAAGAACACGTTTCTATTCCAATAGCAAAATATATGATTAGGAATGTCTATAATTGTCCAGACTATTTCATTATATCATTGAAATAAATGAAATCCTTTGGTCAATAGACTCAAAAGATTAGAATATAGGCCAATGTAAGCAGCATGTATCAAAATGAATCCATTATTTAAGTATTGCTAATTGTTTAGTGCGTCACCTGGCCCTGCCTTGACGACTGGTGGTGTATAAACCGCGGTCACGTATACGGTAGATAAGGCGCCTTAATTTCGAACTGATACCAGCTCTTTCCATAATGATTCCAAATCAGAATATAATCTCTTGTACAAATGTAGGGAGATGATTAACGATGGAACTATTGTGAGAAGTGATATATACAACACTCTATTGGTAATATTTGACCTCTCATTGCGGGACTTTCTCTGGTTGAAATTGCACCCATTGGCAAAAATATCGGGGTTTAAATATATGTACTTATCTTCAACCTGATTGAGGCTGGTTTGGATTTGAAAATGCATTCATTCATACGAACTTGTTCAGGTTGATAAGTAAAATAACTGATTTCCATTTCTTTGCTATTGTGTGTATTACCTATGTAACAGGACGGGAGACATACGTATTATGAGTATCATCTGCACTTGACTATGTATTTGGCTGATACTTTTCACCTTATTGACGTTTGGTCCAATTCGAATGACATAACCAGCAGCATGAGATAATCGAGGCATCTTTTCAAAATTAGGCCTAATACAAAACACATGTTAATCGTGCAATAATGATACGCGAATAAGTTCAAAAGAATGACCATGCGCATTTACGGGGGGCCTATTATGTTCACTGTCGTTACTGCTGCTCTCATGGATGAAATCATTGGACTGGGTAATATAGGATTTAAATAATATACAGGCGAAACTATATTGCATGAATTTCAGTTCATCTGGATAAGATCCTAGTTTTGCTTTCTTATTTTCCAACCGATGTACATTCGCGTTAATACCTTTACGAAATGGCGAAATTAAGACAAACATTGTGTATTCATTATTAAAAAGTGAAGTTACACTTTACCTTTCTGAACAACGTTAACTATTAAACAACGGGAAAACGTAACTAGATTGAAAAACACAAAAAACAACACTTTTAATAATATGTGCATAATATGGGCTACAGATATAGGTGCATCAAAATTACACAAGGTTAGAATTACTTAATGCGTTTTTTAATGTCGCCCTTCGCAATGTCTCTGGAAGTAACTAGGCTCATATAAGATATGACTGAATGATCACGATGATGACGAGAGTAAAACATGTCGATCTTGGTGCATCTCCACAGTCAGAAGTTACATATTCTTCATCCTCTTAGATATTACATTAAAGGGAAGATCGGAAGATTGTTTTTCAAACTAAATCTAGGTGATATACATTTCATGATTGTGTAAAATGTTGCTATGACAACCCATGAACGCGTTATCATTTTGAGAGGTCTTAAAACATATCATTTTCTCGAGCAGGCGATCTTTAAGACACGGATTGTCTTTCCGGGCTTAAGTCCTAGAACGCAGCGAGTTGATAGTCAGGCAGTTCAATGCTACTGTGAAGATCATCTTTAAAGCCCTTTCCGAAAGTACAAAGTACAATGTCATGGCGGTCATGCTTATATACTAGAGTAAAATGCCAGGAACCTGATATTTCGTTCAGATTCAAAGACAATGGTTAATGGGCTTGAACAGAGAGTGACTTGGACGTTGGAAAGGTTAACTTAGGAAGTGGTGTACTATTTTCCTCGGAAGGAGTTCATGATGGCCAAATATTTACCTGTTTACAACTTACATATTACATTCATTTACAATGATGACGTTTAACATGCGATCATAATAATAGCTGTGTTAGACTTATAAATTACGGATGAAAAGCTTATCTAATAAGGAGGTCTTATCTCTATTATTGCTTCGACTTCCAAGATACCTTACTTAAACAGATAACATAGTAAGTGCCCCGTGTCTGGCCTATGAAATACACATTAACTACATAATGTAAACTGTTCTGCCATCTATTTATTGTACAGGGATTTATTTCCACCAGAGATTGCCATTCAATGGCGTGTAAATCAATTATCAACTAAATAAATCGAAATGCATGTAAGGAATTAAAACCCTTCCATCTTAAATTATTTCTCCCCACCATACACAACTGATATTAAAACTTTTGTTTTTGTGTATTTTCAGCTAGAATAATATTTGAACATATTGTAATACCATCCATGTTGCTGTCTACGTTTGTGCCAACAAAGCCATCCAACGGTGCAAAAATTCCATCTTCAAATTGCAATTACACGAAACTACCACTGTTTCAGTTAAAAGGCGAGAAGAGCAAATTTTACGTGTGTATGAATCACAAAGGAAACTTATATTCATCAGTAAGTATGTCAAGTGTTTTGATGGTTGTACATAATGAGAAATTACAAAAATAAATTAACAGGATCATATTAATTCAATATTAGACCAATTGAATGCAAAATATATTAGACAAATCCACCTTGAATATGTAGAAAATGAAAATCCACCTTGCCAAGATCAAAGTTATCAAATAGAAATCACGTCCAAGACAGCATTGTATCTTTAGTATCAGATTGCATGAAATTATTATCCAGCAACCAATAGCTCACCAAAACTTTACCAAAAGTCATGTGCAAGATTTCAGGCTCTTATTTATATATTTTCTGATTTCAGCGAAATCCAGATGATCTGTCTGAATGTAGATTCATGAGAGAGTATCTAAGAAATCGTTTTGTGACATTTAAAAGTTGTAAATATCCAGAAGACAGGTCTACGGATTACCTTATAGCATTGCGGAGAGACGGTAAAACATATTCTGGATCCAATCACAGACTGACAAATAGTACCTCTGTACATAATTCAGCGTGGTTCCTTGAAAGTATACTTAAGAAAAATAGCGAATTTGACGCTAATCCTTTAATAAATGTATTTAAGAATCTAAAAGGCACAACCCCAAAACCAATAGAACCAACCAAAAAAACAATAGAACCCAGCAAAAAAGACAGAAAGGGTTGTAAGGAAAAGATTAGACATAGCAGAAAATGCAGAAAAGATAAAAGTAGGACTAAGAAATGTAAACATCAAAAACGTATGGAAAGGAAGTGTAAAGGACGTAAAAAAGGAAAGGTACGTAAAAACAGAGAGAGAAATCATAATAAAGGTAAAGGTAATAAAAAGAAAAACAGAAAGAATAGAAAGAACAGGAGACGACAAAGGCGAACAAGTACAACAACCGCAACAGTGACCAGATCATAGCAATAATCCCGTGTAATATAGAGTAAAGTAGAACATTCTAGAAATTTCAGGATTACATTTGAAAATTCTTAGAACGTTCATATAAATGAAATAATATACAACGAATCAGATCTGAAACTGTTAAACAGTTACAACATCCCAAAATACAATAAAAATGATGCATGGAAAGTCATGAAATGACAGACAGTGTTTAAGCCAGTCTGACGATGCCAGTCTGTGATGGCACAATAAAACTGCATGTCGAAAAAACATATACACTGGCTTTGCTTTCACTACTTAAGGTCTCTGATGCATCATGGAATATACAACACATGGGACACTACACTGATGCCAAAGTAATTATATTGAGTGCCTACAAGACTTATATATAATACATAGTAGTAGACACATGTATTTAACTTATTGCATATTTATTACATTGTACATTTGGTGTCAGAGCCACTATACATATTAAAGAATAATAAGTGATTATCACATTCTCTTGCCATTCTCAGTTCAACTCACCTTAATCCCAGAATCTAACTATGGAATATATACAATAGAAAATCTTATTTTGCTCTGTTCTTGCCCAAGAAACACAATAAACCATTCATACTATTTCTTATAATAGTTTTGTTCTTTTAGACAAATAGGATTGGCTCTGACACCAATGGTGTATATTTCTTAATTTATTCACGTCCATATATATGAAATTGTATATTGTATCACTGAATGACATTCACATTCCTTTACAAGGTATGCCCCATATTGATTTAAAACAACAAATTGCCATTTGTATTAAAGGTGTTAAAATTGTACTAATATGTCCAGTACATATAAATGATGACCAGTACTCATGCATGGTGTACATGTACACTTAACCATTGTAGCCCTCTGACATGTCTGATGGGGTGCCTATGCAGTGGGTACAACTTGCCATAGCAAGCTTCCAAGCACAGACTTGTGAAAGTATTTCAACATATACAAACCAGCAGTACAATATTTCACATGTTTATGCTGAACTACTTCCATAAGGCTACCCAAGCACACTATAAACAAGCATTTATTTACATTGTTCCTCGTATAGATATATTTGTGAAGTACATTATTGTATAACAGACTATAATGCAATATAATGAAATATTTGTAATTTATATACAAAATCAAATATAGATCAATATCAGAAAGTAAAAACAATGAATTATATGAATCATATGCAAAATAATTCATACTCTATCGGATTGACAGAAATAAAGCTGACAGTAAGATTGGTATGAAGTTTTTTGTGATGGTTTACAGTGTGTATATTTTGCAAAAACCACCCTGATACCAACAAATTCTTAAAAGAGAAATATGATTTTATGGTGGTCATACTTTTTCATTTAACAAGTGGAGAATATTAATAAATGAGACAGCACTATCTAAGAGGAGTGTCTCTAAATTCATGGATATAATGCTTAAAATGGTCTGATTCTTATCCAAATATGGAAGATATATAAGACAAATCCACCTTATATGGGCTGCTTATGAAAGTGCTAAAAGGATGACTACCATGATATTTTCTTTGCAAGATTACTTCATTAAAACATGACACCAGGGTGGCTGGCAATGTAGTTGTATTTGAACTAAGTGTATGTGTCTTACTTGACAAATGTGGGGTACAGATGTATTGATTTTAAAATGTAATTACCAACATGCTCTAATTGTTTTGACAAAAACTGTATAATAACTTTGTCTGTCAGTAATAAGTAATAGATTGTGTAATAAATGTGACAATTATCATTTACATAAGGTTAGCATTGCAGATGGTTCTCCTCAATATACCTGTCACTGTAGTGATGATAATCCTCTTCAATGTGTAATAACAAGTGGCAAGGCAAGTCCAGATTATATCAATTAAATATAATTGTGGAGGTACATAAAACAAAACTAAAATAGTAACCATTAAACCTCTCCAAACAGAATGCTACTGAAACCAATGAAAACTGTTGGTTTCTATGGTAGACTAAAAGTGGCATTGAAACGTGTTCATATTGAGAGATATTCAGATAAGAGAGGTGTTCAGATTGATTTGCATGTTTAACTGTAATTAGTTGTGATCTTATGTACATCCTTTCTGGGTGGGTTCAAATGGACTCAATTACTTGTCGCAAGATGAAAAAACAAAAATGGGCAATATTAGAAATAAAGTGAGCTTATTATCTTGAGTCTTGCCATGAACAATAAGAAATACTAAAGATATCCATGTTCCAAGGAGTTTATTCACTATATTTTCAACTAAATGATTGTGTTCATTTCAATCTTCACTATGCTAATATGATCCAACAATTTAATGAGCTTAAATAAAATACAGTATAAGCCATCATAACAAATAATCCATGGACATTAGGCAGTGTAAGATGTTCTGTTGTTTAGAAACTGAAAGTCCATACAGGGTTATACATATATTGGAATAGGAGTGTCCAATGAATAACATGTCATGATGGGCAATAAGTGTGACAGTTACACCTGAAGAGAATGAACTGAAAAGTATTAAGCACCAAGATGACAGTTTAAGCCTTGTATGGAGTTTCACTAATATTTATGGTGAGAAGACTAATGTTTAGGCTTTTAACTCTACAATGGAACATATCATAGAATTTATTTTTCTAAAGAATAAATGAAATGTACAAAATTATAGGTTAAAACCTGAGTTTGTTTATTATTAAAGATGAGTCTAATTCTACAAGTTAGGTGGTAGGCCTAAGTTGAGATAAGGTCATTTCAGACTTGTTGTGAATAAAATGACGTGAAATCACTTAAGCAAATGTATAGCATAGCATCTATGCCTCCAAATTGAAGTTCTCTAAATAATCAAATGAGAAAAATATTTTTCTTTGAGGTGAGGGATATGTTACAAATTCCAATTTGATTCAGCTTAATTTCAAATACCAAAGTCCAACATACTCTATCCATCAATCATCTTTTATTAAATAAATAAAACAGACCAAATGTGGCCTTTCCTGACTTAGTGAAGGAGAAGCTCTCATGAAACAGGCCTGTGGTACATCTTATACTTTAGACCCTTATAAATGGACTTAAGCTCAATATTTTTGATATCAACAGTATGGAATCCATGTTCCAAACCATTTTTCACAACTTTGAGGAACTGTTTAGTAATTGGTGTTATTTGGTCATTATTTGCTAAGTCTTCAAATGCCATCCAACGACATTGTAATACTTCATTATGACAAGGCTGTATATGGAAAGTTGATGGAGCAAGTCGGCATATAAAGTAGAAGTCTGAACGCCCAAATGCTCCTGGTTGATTGTGCTGTTGACGAAATGACATCAGAGATTTGAATTCTGGAATAAAGAGACAACAATTAATTGTGAAAGCCTATTACAGCTATAAACCATATAGGCTAAATTGTACCATGGAGCATTTACATTCAAACAACAGAAATAATACAAAATAATGGGTAGAAATAATGATGAACGGTGCTTTCTTTAATCTAAAATTAATATCAAAGAGCTATATAGATGTCACACTGTCTCAGGCATGTTTCAGTAAGAGGTATAATATCAGTCAGAATGATAAAAACTGACAATAATGATGAACAGTGCTTTCTTTTATTTAAAATTAATATCAAAGAGCTTTAGAGATGTCACACTGTCTCAGGCATGTTTCAGTTAGAGGTATAATATCATTCAGAATGATAAAAACTGACAATAATGATGAACAGTGCTTTCTTTTATTTAAAATTAATATCAAAGAGCTATATAGATGTCACACTGTCTCAGGCATGTTTCAGTTAAAGGTATCGTGTCAGTCAGAATGATAAAAACTGACAATAATGATGAACAATACTTTCTTTTATTTAAAATTAATATCAAAGAGCTATATAGATGTCACACTGTCTCAGGCATGTTTCAGTTAGAGGTATAATATCAGTCATAATGATAAAAGCTGACAAAAATGATGAACAGTGCTTTCTTTTATTTAAAAAAAATTAATATCAAAGAGCTATATAGATGTCACTCTGTCTGAGGCATAATGTTTCAGTTAGACGTATCGCATCAGTCAGAATGATAAAAGCTGACAAAAATGATGAACAGTGCTTTCTTTTATTTAAAATTAATATCAAAGAGCTATATAGATGTCACTCTGTCTGAGGCATAATGTTTCAGTTAGACGTATCGCATCAGTCAGAATGATAAAAGCTGACAAAAATGATGAACAGTGCTTTCTTTTATTTAAAATTAATATCAAAGAGCTATATGTCACACTGTCTCAGGCATGTTTCAGTTAGAGGTATCGTATCAGTCAGAATGATAAAAACTGACAATAATGATGAACAGTGCTTTCTTTTATTTAAAATTAATATCAAAGAGCTATATAGATGTCACACTGTCTCAGGCATGTTTCAGTTAGAGGTATCGTTTCAGTCAGAATGATACAAACTGACAATAATGATGAACAGTGCTTTCTTTAATTTAAAATTAATATCAAAGAGCTATATAGATGTCACACTGTCTCAGGCATGTTTCAGTTAGAGGTATCGTATCAGTCAGAATGATAAAAACTGACAAAAATGATGAACAGTGCTTTCTTTAATTTAAAATTAATATCAAAGAGCTATATAGATGTCACACTGTCTCAGGCATGTTTCAGTTAGAGGTATCGTATCAGTCAGAATGATAAAAACTGACAAAAATGATGAACAGTGCTTTCTTTAATTTAAAATTAATATCAAAGAGCTATATAGATGTCACACTGTCTCAGGCATGTTTCAGTTAGAGGTATCGTTTCAGTCAGAATGATAAAAACTGACAATAATGATGAACAGTACTTTCTTTTTTTAAAATGAATATCAAAGAAAAATGGCGGAAAATTTGAATATTTGAGAAATGAAAAGCTGACAACGTTTTTTTCAAAATATCTCTGAAATAACTCTTAAAGTCATCAAAACAAACCTTCTTTAACATTAAAAACAGGCTACATATCAATCATGACAGAAAAACTCACAATGAAAAGCAAAATAGCTCACCCAAAAAGTATGATAAACATATTCCCAAAATAAAAATATCAAAAACCTGTTTGTATTCCAGTTTCTTCAAAGGTCTCCCTAACTGCTGTCTCTCCTGAAAAAGAGATACATGCACCAATCAGTATTAGGTTAAGTTATCTTGGGCTAAATTCAAACAATTGTTAAATCCATAGAAAGCATGATTTAGATGATGCATTAAGCCTCAGTCACATTTGCTCTTCATTGTCCATAGCTTCATAAAATCGATATATAGATAATCAACATCGTACTGCTTATCCTCCCTATATTTCATACTGCATATTTCTCTCAATTTTGGGAAGCCACGCTATCATAGATCAAATGTGGCCAAGGTATTAACTTGATATCTTAGTTCCGAAACTAGCCAGGGTTATAATTGGAGAAATTCTTACCTATGTCCTCACCCAAATCTGCTAATCCACCAGGGAATTTCCAATACACCCGCTGAAAGTGTAAAGCTTAAGTTATTCATT